AATAAAAGATAAGATTGCATTATTTAGCAGCTATTTTGAAAAAATTAGTTTATTCTATTGCAATTGCTTATGACAAAGAAATCATGTTATAATTCAATATTTACATTACTAAAAAAACTTTCATTTAGATTTTTATCTATATCTTAATTAGATAATATCATATAACTTATAAAAGAAAAACACGAGATTCTATCCACCCCCTATACAGTTCTACTATTATATATAATATCACGCACGCTGTTTTCTCTATTTAATTCGTTATGCAAATGAACCCATCGTGCTAAAACTATCCCTCCCTATTTTGATATGTATTTCTGTTTATGTGTAACGCACATAATACACGAGGCTGATGCTAATTGAAACTAACAGGGAGCACTATTCTCTATCACGCTAATGTGTCTAAATATAAATTAAACGGCGGTACAGAGCTGGATCAAATATAAATATAATATAATGTGACATAATGATAAAAAAAACGTGTAATTTAAATATAACTCCATCCATTCATATTGTTATGAAGAAGGTAAAACAGAAATATATTCATTTATTTATAAATAATTATGAAATAACATAAAAGATAAAACATTTATATTGTCTCAATTGTCTTTAATTATATCATCGAACTATTTATATTATCAATTTCCATTACATAAACTGCAAATAATCTCCCTCGAAGGTATTTTATTCTCAATTGCAGTTTTTTTTTAAATTATCTTAGTTAATCAGGAATTTATTTGTAGTTATTTTGGAATTTTACTTGTCTGATACATAGAATGTGTTCTCTCGTTATGGGGAAAGTGTCAGGTATATTTAGCGGTAAATCATGGACCTCTGGCATTCCTCTCCCTTCTTTTAAATAACTACAGAGAGTTTATAGGACAGGACCAAGATAGTAACCCCAAAATATCCACGTTTAGAAATAAATATCAAGCATGTTTGTGACTTAAAAACTACGTCTAGTAAACAAATAATAACCGTTTATTGAGGAACTAGTGCGTGGAATCTTTCTTCTTGGATTAATACGCGACGGGAAAATCAAAAAAAAGAAGGACGAATGATGACGCATTATAAAAAGAATAAAAGATTATCAACGCAATTCGCGTAGAGGAAAAGTTTTAATCGGACGATCAACCAAAATCTTCTCCGACGAGACTTCTCAAACGAGACAGTGATAGCGATATCCTAACATTTAATGTATTGATCAACCGAGGAGCAATAAATAGAGGCAGAGCGAGGGGTGTCGTCAGCCTGATTAAACTTCATTCTCCGCTAATGGTTTATAAATAGGCATCTTTTTTTTTCTTTGCCTTCCATGCGGTCACGACGGACGGGAGAAGTGCTCCTGGAACGAGCGTCCTTCCATTCCGCTGTCCTGCCTCTTCGCCTACACCTCGCCTGCCGACCTCGTCGACATTTTCCGATATTTCCTCGCCGATTTTCCTAACGCGCAGCGCCGGCATCGGCGACGTGTTTTCGCAGGAAATTGCGTATCGACACTTTTAATGGCGGCTGTTATTTGATGCTCTTGAATACGGAGATTTCAAACGCTCGATGGTAAAATCGGTGACGATGATAATCCGATATACATTAATTAAAACGAAAAAAGTGCATGCATTCTATGGTCTTTAGTTGTACTTATGTAATTCCGTGAAAAAAAAGTTCATTATGGATACCGCGTTAATCGACATTTTACAAATATTTCCTTTCAAACGATCACAAAAGGATTATTTTTTATTTTCTACCATGCAAACTGCTGGCAAAATGGCATCACCATATATGAAACTGAGATTAACTGAATAAAATGCAAATATGCAAATGCAATAATTGCATCGAGCATCACACGAAACAAGCTTCAAACGTTGTCCATCTTTCCACCAAAAATATCTATTGTTCTCTTATGAAAACCATGAAATTCATACATACAGCGATTATATTATATTTCAAAATAGAGATACTATTTTAAATGCTGTTATGAAAATATCACCAATTCAATAAATACAATACAAATTCAAAGGATCTCAACGTATTAATAAAATAAAATTCTTTCTTTCTCTCCTTCCTTCTAGAATAGTTTATTTACTATTTGAAATCGATCTATTTATTAAATTATTAAATTCAATCAGTTATTATTCAAAAATTAATATCATTCGTCAGCATTTCTATAATGAACTATGAACTTTGAAATGTCACGGAGTAGTGCACACGTGCACATAAAGATTCTTCTTTTCTATCCCGCACGCGGGCCCCGCAAATAGTCATACATAGGGGCGTAGGTCGGATCGATCGCGGGGTAAAAGTGAAAGGACGCCCCAAGAGGCGGCTGAGAGGACTATGAAATCGTTCATCGAGTCAGTCAATTCAAGAGAGAAAGAGAGAGAGAGAGAGAGAGAGAGAGAGAGAGAATCAAGGATCGTTGGTTAGAAAAGAAGTGATGTGCCAAAATCGAGTCCCGGAAGACCGATCCATATCGTGTTGAAGATGGAACAGACATTTCATTTCCTAGATATGTAACCAAGATACATATGTATCTCTTCTAACTAAGTGGAGCCGAGAGACAATTTTACTTTCCTATATTCAATTATCATTTGTCTGGAAAGTACTTAATATTTAAAAATAATCTCTTTTCTTATTTAATCAGTAAACCTCTAATTGTATCTCTGTTTTCGCCTACATTTCTCGGGAAATATAAAGCTGCATAAAAGTATCTGATATATAATCAAATCTAAACTCTGAAAAAACGAATAGATTTAAAGACAAAATCTTAAAAAATACGGAACAAATATAATTAAAGAATTATATATTTTTCGATTCAAAGATAAATATATGACATACTAAGTATCACGCATACTAATTATAAGCAATAAAAGTCAAAAGTCTAAAAAAATAGGGAAGTTCTCTTCATAGTGACGTATTAATTTACATATACACACTTTATATGTCCGTCTCATATAACTAAATGTGTTCAAATAAAAAAGTCATATAGTTACATTAACGTGACTATCCAAAGGACGGAATACAATTTTTTTGTAGCAACTTTTTTTATCTTTTTATTTTTATATCTCTGTCGCAAACGTATAATATATTAAACTTTATTGCACAACAAAAAGTGCAAAATTAAGATAATTACTATGGTATTACTATACTCTTGTTAGTTAAATCCTAGTTAACTTAAATTGGCGATCGACAGTTATTTCTAGAAATTCTATTGAACATTATTTATAAGATCACGGAAAGCGTATTCCATATAAAAAGGATTGATACGTAAAGGATGAAAGCAAAATTCTGGATTTTCTCGCGAGAGATCATATGCGGTTCGTACTTTTGCGACAATCTAGTGGATCTCGGCGACGGATGACGGCTTATACCTCGACTGCGTCATTTCAGTGGATTCGATTTCGTCGGTAAATCCAACCAGATGATATCGAGACACAAGGGAAATGGATGAAAATGTTATATCAAACGAGGGGGAAAAACGTCGCCCCGACAGTCAAACAAATTCTCGACCTAAACATCGTCTCACGTCATCACGTGTATTTATTTTATGTATGTATGTATATAGGTCAACATGCAGTGTCACAAAGCGCATTTAAAGTACATTTTTAATAGGAGACAAATGAAAGAGAGAGAGAGAGAGAGAAAGAGAGAGAAGGATATAATTATCATATATATTTAACAGAGAATTGAATTCAAACCCATGCGTCATATCTGATATTTTTCAACGCAAAATTCTTTACAAATATGTTTTTTCTGTAATCATTAATTAAACAAATTGACAAATTGACATTTATAAAATTTAAAAATAAAATTTAATTAATTTAAAATTAAAAAAACGTTATTAAAAAAAAATTACTTCTCTTCAAACATTTATCGAAAATCAATTGAATAGAGTCGAATGATTAAATTAATAAATATATAGCTAAATATAACTTTACATGCAGCAATCTAAATGTATATCAAAGTTAATAGATATATAATTATATAGATATACGCATATTAAAATAATATATATATATATATGCATATATGACTAATTCATTCGATACTAACTAATGTAATTACGTGGTGATATTAAAATTTTTTCTGAGATTTTGTTTTAATAAAGAAATTTTCCTCGATATATTTTGTATTTTATATTTTGTATAGAGTTTGAGGTGTTATACGATAAGTATATAATAAAATTAATATTCCTATTTCACCGTCATTTAAAATGTATATTTTGCACGCTGCTGAAATGATACTTCACTTTGATGAGCTTTCAAAAGAGTTATGCGGTTATCACTTTCCAATCGGAAGTAATTGCAACCTACCATTGTATACCGCACAACCGGGTCAGCCCTGTGATTTTTGACATACAGATGGATATAATTCGTTTAGCCATTTGGTCGATATGAGAGAAGCACACATACTTTCCGATCCTAGCATAAAATGTAGAGATCCAAAATGGTAACTTGGACCGTTCCGAAAATATTCGCCCGTCATATTTCTTATGAAGATTACATATTCAAATTTAATTAAGGGAAATGCCAAACCATCATGTTATTTCATGAAAAAAAATTATACCATTTGTGTTATACTATCCTATGTCTATGTTGAAATTCATTTTATAAAAGAAGCTTACTAAAAGAGAAAGAGAGAGAGAGAGAGAGAGACATTTCTGAATTAATAAATTTGTAATCGTAAACATGAAAATTAAAATGTAGATCATGTAATTTCAATTTATTGATTTTCTTTTAATCATAATTTATTTCAAAGAAGAATCATACGTGCAGCATTGCGTAACTCTAATAAATTTTAATAATAAAAACACGAAAGCAAATGATACAATAAAAAATGAAAGGAATATGTTGACAATTTCTAAAAGCATAAAGTTAAGGATTTTTATTATTGTAACAAACGAATAAAATTCAAGAGCTGTCACATTTTTATATAATGTGGAAACGAACAACTTAACCCCAATTATAATTTTCTTTATGTCAAAATATGTAAATAAAATAAATTAGTATTTTCTCTCACAAGAATAATATTTCAGCAAATTAAAAATTAATTATTCGCAAATGGCGTTCACAGGGAAGTTTCATTAAATTATTTCCTTTGATGAGATGGACGCATATAGCTATGGTAGTGCAAGGGTTTCCCGGTGCGAATCTTATTGGACAGCTCCTAAGACAAATCACGCAGCCATTGTCGAAGGCGATAGTAAAGTGTGTGAAGAAACAGCCGCTTTTAAGAAAATATGTTCTAATTCAACTGGGACGTTTTTATTATTTATGCGAAGATATGATAAAATGGCGACAGATTTCAGTTATAGCGAAAAAAAGACCCGTTAATGACGATCACACAATGGAAGCAGGAACAACACTACTACTCGAGGTAAAGATAGCAATTATGATATTATACGCTGATTATATTATTGAAATACTAATTTTTTTTGGTTGCATTTCGCAAAATAAAATTTGAATTCATTTAATCCCTCAGGCATTAGTGTTTGGATTTTTGGGGAGCGTACTTATATATGAAACACGAAAGGCTAGAGAGAGATCGCGCGTCTCTGAGCAACTGAAAATTCAGGAGCTCAATGACTTAGAGGCGAAGAAAGATCGATTGATGCAGCGAGTCAAGGATCAAGTGATCTTGACGAAACAACTCAAAGAAATCATTGTGGAGTATTCGAGACAAGTCGGATGTACATTACCGAGTGATCCCGAGGAGAAAGGCGAATAGAATATTCCATTTGATTTGAGGCAGATGTGGAGATTGCGAAAAGTCAGTCGCGAAAGAATTGTTAAAAGACATTTGTCGCGTCGTTAAAATATCGCATTTACGTGCGGCGGCGGACGGAAAAGAAGAACTCTTTCTCTGTTCCCTGTCGTCACAATTTCTTTCCGAGGATAGAATTTGTCGCATTACGTTCTCGGTGAACCACAAACGGTTGAACGATCCTCATATGGAATGCAGACCCCGCTAGCACGTCAACGACAGTTCGAACTTTGTGCGAATATATTCTTCCGTTTTCGCCTGTCTGTCGTTCCGGTTGACATTAGCATTCGTTAGCATAATGAACGTTATTTCCGCGCGCGTTCTCGCTGCATGTCTGACTCACTGTGATGGATTTCACAGGCAGGCGCTTGAATGAAATTTAACTTTCAGCATCAAAATCGACAAAGAAGGGGAAAATATCATTAGAAGCAGGCGTTACGGAAAATGCGCGAATCACGTTAATTCGACAAGCGAAGAGTAGATTATCGCATATCTGATTTCGTATATATATATATATATATATATATATTCACATCATAGAATATTGAATAATAATTTGGAGATTTACATAAATGACATTCTAAAAAATAGCAAAAGATGTTGCACATTTCTATCAATGTAATAAAAATTTAATCGTGAAAATCGCAAATAATCAATGATTAAATAATCGATGATTAAATCATCACTGCTGGGAGCAAACCTCGGAGCAAACCGACTACAAATTCAAGAAGTCCAAACCGGAACTGGCAGCGAAGTTTGCAATCTCTTGCACAAACACATGCACGAGTAACGTTGTCTGTCTATGTGTAATTAGTTCGTATAAGTACAAGATCGCCGGAGTTAAAATTGATTCGCGGAGGAATGTTGCCGGCAGGAGCCCAATTAAAAATGTAGGTACTCTGCACTGGAGAAACGGAATATTTTTACGATCTTCTTCCTCGACTGTTCTTGACTGAAAAGAAAAGGTCTTTAGCGAAAAGAAAAAAAAAATATATTTAATATATTTAAAATTTCGCCTGAAAACGCCGATTGCAAGACGATTTATCTCATCCCTTCGTACATGTCTTATACGATCTCAATGCTTTCAAAGCAAAAAAACATTTCTTTTAACCCTCGGAATAATACATCTATATTCTAACATATTCATATCTTATTTGTATATACTTTTTATACGTCGCTCCAATATTTATATATCTCTCATGCACATTTCGTGCTAAATGTGACGAACTTTTGCAAAATTTCTATGAAATATATGCATATTTCTTTCTCTCTCTAAACAGAATATTATTATTATACTAATAGTTGACGGAAAAAAAGGATTATCCCAGTCTAAGCGTTATTCTATTAAAGAAACTTGAAAATGGTATGATATACGGCGGAGAACATGTCTGTTCTCGGTTTTCTTTTTGGAATTATATCATTTGAGAGACATACACTGCCTCGGAACCGCTCCACATGGAATATTACAAGGAACAAGATAAACGTCATATGCACGCGAGAATCTTAGACACCTACGTGTATAAGGAGGGAAACACCGATCGTATATCCGAGATCTCCAAGCATTCGAGAGTCTCGAGAGAGAACATTGCGAGTTCGGTTTGAGACAGACGTGAAATTCGATATTGATGTCTCCGTGACATCGCGACCGAGGAAACCTTTACGAGGGACCCGATTCTCGCACGATACACACCGATTCAAATCGGGTAACAAGAGAGCAACGGTGCATCTTGTACTCTATTGGCGTACGATGAATAAAAATATTGACAGAATTCGAGAGATAAACTCGTGAGATCTTTCCGTAGCTTCTGTATTTCCTGAGAGGTTAAATTTTCTAGATAACATGTTAGAGTGAAATATGTGGAATAAAAAATAATCATGGTAAATCACTCTCTATTTCATACTTCATTCCTGTATAATATTTATTTATTTTCGAATTATAATTTATATTTCTGTCTAAAGCTTTCTACTCATATATCATAATTAGTCATAATATATAATAATTAAGTAACATTGTGAAGAGAGATTTTTAATGAGAAAGTTAAAAAATATAGTTTTCTGAACTACTCAGTTAATCGCGTTATATCGTTAATCGAAATAAATTTCTTAAAGAGAAATACTCAAGAATAATCTTGATTGCAATGCAATCTCGAATAATTTATTTGAATCAAATAAATAATTCAGTCAGAATAAAAAGAATAAACAAGCTTCTATCTTCTTATTCACGAGAAGAGAAATAATATCAGAGATAGCTATAATTACAACCGCGTGCTGAATCACGGTCAGATATAATTCTTTGACGCTCACTTTGTAAGGTGAAAACTTGGCGATAAGGCAAGTCATTTTGCTATAGCTACCGAGATGTTAATGAGACACTAATTTTCTACGAAATCATTCTTGTTATCTCCCCCGTTAAAGAGAGAAGCATAGAAAGTACTCCGAATTGAAAACTTAAGCGAATATTTACTCGATCGTCTCTTTTTTTATACTAAAGTTCATTTCTTTATACATGTAAATTATACTGCATAAAACACACAATAGTATTATATCGACAATTTTTCGTTAATAACGACATAGAAAGAACGGTTTTATATATTGAGGAACCTAAAAATTTAACTAAATACAGATCTGAAAATAATTTTGTCTAGATCATTAAAATAATTCTGTAGAGCGCTCAAAATAAAGTAGCTAGAATGTTAAAATTTCTTGCAGAGCATTATCATTAAGCTTAAGCGACCTATATAATTATTTAGATGGCCTAATTATTTTCAAATCTGTCTAGGTAAATTTTTGGATACTTTAATAAAACCGTTCTATCTGTGTATGTAACTATATGTTTATCTGTACCCATATCAGATAGAGTCTTCATATCGTTTTCAATACCAGTTTCGTAATTCTATTCCATTAAAATAAAAAAGTTTTACAGACAAAAGCATACAAAAATCAAAAATTACTATATATTATCGTACCATGTAATATGTGATTGTTCTAAAGTACTGAATTATATTGCGAGTTATTTTCAGCGTCCTACTTCGACATTATAACATTCATCGATTTTCCCCATCAATTTACGTTCCAATGCAATTGACGTAACTCAAAAACGTTCTACAAAAGACAAACTTTTAAAATCGTTTTATATGCGACAATCTAAAAGCATCAAAGGTCATTTCAGTTTATCACAATAAATTATAAATGCAATATTCGTACAGATAAATAACGAGAAGTAGAACATTGAAATAGAATATACGTTTTGCATAAAGTTGTTAAAAGTAATTTGCAGAGCTGCATGATATTAGGTGTTGAACTTAATTCCTGCCGCTCACTACTAGAGAGTGCTGGCTCCAACGCTGGCGAGTTTCGACGATAAAGTCATATGTCTTTTGTAGTTTAGATATCGCTGAAAGTGATTCAATCCTCACAGGTTAGATTTCTCGACGCCAAAGAGATTTTCCAATCGATTGAAAATGATCATCCGTAGCCAACAATCGACGCAAAGTCATTTTGTTGCATGATAACACTCGACCACATGTCGCGAAAAGCGTGAAGCAGACACTTCTAGAGTTTGAATGGGAAGTTCTCCCGCATCCAGCGTACTCTCCAAACTTGGCACCGTCGGATTACCATCTGTTCCGATCGATGCAACACGCACTTACGGACACACATTTCTCCAGTTACAACGAAGTCCAAAAATGAGTGGATAAATGAATCGCCTCGAAAGACACCGCGTTCTACCGTCGTGGGATTGCCCTGTTGCCAGAGAGATGGGAAAAAGTAGAAAATGGAGGAAATTATTTTGATTAAGGTCATTCATCTTCCCTTCGAAACAAATCAATTTTGGAGACGAAAAAACGGCAGGAATTAAGTTCAACACCTAATATATAATATAAAGTAAATAAAAAATAAACAAAATAGCTAGAAACGATCTTGATGAAAAAACATTGAGTCTACCGTTTCCTCGAAACCAGAGAGGTAAATTAATATGAATCATAAAGCTATCGTTAATTAAATTCTCACGAGACAATAATCCCTCTTTGCAGTTTATTTTGATTGTATCTGATCTTAAAATGGTATATGTATATTATAAACATATAATATTATAAAATATATCCATACTTCCCCCAAAAAGTTTCTTTTTTTAAAGAAATTAGTTTTTTATTCAAAACACACACACATACAACGGCTATTAATACCTGATTAGTTTTTTTCGTGTTCTCACAACAAATTTTCGAACAAAATTGATCCTTTTTTTTCTGTGCAAGACATCTTGAATTAGGCCATAACCATTTGGGTCGATGAATTGATCTCCCTGACGTCATAACGGGCGAAATTTAATCTATGCCACATATAGAGACATGTATAAAACTTGTTCTAGTAAGAATAAATTTTTATAGTATTTTTGATCTCTCTCTTTCTCCGTCTTCGAGAGATATACCTAATAATAAAGACTGTACTTTGTTCTGTAGTTTATTTTCAAACTTCTGATTCAATAGGACAATAGAAAATAGGACAATAGAAAATAGATTTTTATTTCTCTAATATTACTTAAATATCTGAAATGTTTAAAGCTGTACATTCCTCCCCAAGAAGTACAACATAACAAAATAATATTTAAGTACTACTTTATGGTCATTCAATGTGACCGTAAAGTTAAAAATGTTATATCCTTGACATAAAAAAAATTACATAAAAAACTAGTCACCCCTAAAATCGCAAATAGTCGCTTAAATCTGCGGCACACGATTCTATTGGATTGCTTGCGTTTTAGTAACTTATTAGAAATTCTGCATTGTGTTGCAATTCTAATAATCTACTAAAACGCAAGCAATCCAGGAGGAAAAAAGTATCGTGTGCCGTTGGCTTTAGCCACCCTCATTTTTTGTTTTACCTATATAATCGGGAAAAGCAATTTTTGATCAAATACGTTACTCAAAGATGCATTGTTATTACATAAAAACTTGTTACATAATAAATTAATAAATTTATTTTTTATGTTATGCGCTTACGTTATTGTAGAACCGATTGATTCGAATCTTTCGGTTAAAATTGTCGCAATTTACGGAAAGGAAGACAGATATATCGCAGTGACAATCAGCGATTACTTTAACCTCTGACCTTCCTTCTACGAGTCTACGGTCGGGTGAACAAACGGCAAGATTTATGTGCAGCGAAAACCATTGAGTGCAAAATCGGCCCTTTGATCACAATATTGCCCTTGGACTAAGCAGTAAGGTACTTGAGCTACAAAAGCGTGGTGTTAGTATGTAATTTGTAATGTCACATCAATTCGTCTGAATATTAAAGTTTATTATTCCTTTTTTTAGTCTAATATTAGTTGTATGATCATATAATCACGATCTGCGTAGAAATTTTAATTATCGATTCTTAGAAAATTGGGTCATAACAGTTTACCACGCATTAGCGATAAAAAAATAAAAAAACATTATCTCATTATCAAAATATTAATAGCCATTTAGTTATAAACATCTACAATATATATCT